CACTAACCCTCTTTATTTTTATTCATTCATTCATTCATTCATTCATTCATTTTGAGGCAGGGTCTCACTGCTGGAATTATAGGCCTGCACCACCATTCCCATCTAGTATCTCATATAATACATTTATGTGTGTGTGTGTGTGTGTGTGTGTGTGTGTGTGTGTGTGTGTGCGCGCGCGCGCGCGCGCCATCATGCAAATAGGACATTGGACACTTGTTATGTAATATAAAAGAAATGATTTTTTAATTTGTTCTAATTAGTTATACAGACAATAGAATGTATTTTGAAACATCATACATAAATGGAGTGAGTATTAACTTCTCATTCTTCTGATTGTGTATGTTATAGAGGTACACCAATTGTATAATCATATATGCACATTGGTTAATAATGACATTCATTCTACTATTCTTCCTACCCCCTTACCTCCTCCCCTCCTTTCACTCCCTTCTGTCTAATTCAGAGTTCCTCTATTCTTCACTAGCCCTCCCCTTTATTGTGAATTATCATCTACATATCAGAGAAAATGTTCAGCCTTTAGTTCTTAGGGATTAGCTTATTTCACTTGGCATAAAATTCTGCAGCTTCATCCATTTACTGACAAATGCCATAATTTCATTCTTCTCTATGGCTGAGTAATATTCCAGTGTGTGTGTGTGTGTGTGTGTGTGTGTGTGTACACACACACCACATTTTCTTTACCCATTTATTTATGCCATTCATTAAAGGGCACTGAGGTTGGTTTATAGTTTAGCTATCGTGAATTGAGCTGCTATAAACATGGATGTGGCTGTGTCAATGCAGTATGCTGATTTTAAATCCTTTGGATATATAATGAGTAGGATAATTGGGTCAAATGGTGGTTGTATTTCACGTTTTCTAAGGAGTCGCCATACTGCTTTCCATAGTGGTTATACCAATTTACAGTCCCACAGCAATGTTTGTGTGTACGTTTTTCCCCCCACATCCTTGCCAGTACTTACTGTTGCTTTTATTCTTGATAATTGCCCTTTTGACTGGAGTGAGATGAAATCTTGGAATAGTTTTGATTTGAATTTCTCTAATCTCTAGGGATGATGAACATTTTTTCTTATTTTTGTTGATAGATTTTATTTCTTCTGTGAAGTCTGTTCAGTTCCTTAGTCCATTTATTGATTAGTTTTTTTTTCTTTTTGGTGTTAAGTTTTCGAGTTTTTTAAATATATCTTGGAGATTAGTGCTCTATCTGAAGTGTGTGTTTTAAAGATTTTCTCCCATTCTGTAGGCTGTCTCTTCACATTATTGATTCTTTCCTTCGCTGAGAAGAAGCTTTTTAGTTTGAATCCCATCCTATTTATTGATTCTTTATTTTACTTTTTGTGCTTTAGGGGCCTTGTTAAGAAAATCAGTTCCTAAGCTGACATTATGAATATCTGGGCCTAGTATTTTTTCTTTTAAATGCAGGGTCTGTGTTCTAGTGTCTTAAGTCCTTAATCCACTTTGAGTTTTGTGCAAGATGAGAGACAGGGATCTAATTTTATTTTGCTAATATGAATTTCTAGTTTTCACAGCACTATTTGTTGAAGAAGCTATCCAATGTATGTTTTTGGTACCCTTGTCTAGGATGAGACAACTGTACTTATGTGGATCTGTCTCTGTGTCCTCTATTCTGTACTATTGATCTACATGTCTGATTTTGGTGCCAATACCATCCCATTTTTGTTACTATTCTTCTGTAGTATAATTTAAAGTCTGGTATTGTGATTCTTGCTTCACTTTTTTTGCTAAGGATTGCTTTGGCTATTCTGGGTCTCAGTTTTCCAAATAAATTTTATGATTGCTTTTACTGTTTCTATGAAGAATGTCATTGGGATTTGAATAGGGATTTTATTAAGTTTGTGTAACACTTTTGGTATTATGTCCATTTTGACAATCTTAATTCTGCCAATCCAAGAGCATGGGAGAGTTTTCCACCTTCTAAGGTTAATTCAATTTCTTTTTTTAGTGTTCTGTAGTTTTCATTATATAGGTCTTTTACCTCTTTTGTTAGATTGATTTCCAAATATTTTAGTTTTTTGAGACTATTATGAATGAGATGGTTTTCCTGTGTTCTCTTTCAGTGGATTCACCACTGATGTATTTCATTTATGGGTTTTAATTTTATATCCTGCTACTTTGCTGAATTCATTTATTAGTTCTAAAATTTTCTGGTGGAAAATTTTGGATCTTCTAAATATAGAATTATGTCCTCAGCCAATAGTGATAATTTGAGCTCCTGTTTTCCTATTTATATCCCTTTAATTTCTTTGTTCTGTTTAATTGCTCTGGATGGAGTTTTCAAGGATGATGTTGAATAGAAGTGGTAAAAGAGGGCATCCTTGTCTTGTTCAAGTTCTTAGAGGGAGTGCTTTCTATTTTTCTTCATTTAGAATGATATTGGCCTTAGGTTTAGCATATATAGCTTTTACAATATTGAAGTTTGTTTCTACTATTCCTAGTTTTTCTAGTGTTTTGAGCATGAATGGATGCTGTATTTTGTCAAATTCTTTTTCTCTAGACTACATCCCCAGACTCCCCCCCCCCCCACCTTTTAAATGTTTTATTTTGAGATAGAGCCTCACTGCCCAGGCTGGCCTCAAACTTGTGATCCTCTGGCCTCAGCCTCTCAAGTCTCTGGAATAATAGGGTGTGTCCCTGCAGTTTTCATTTTTGTCAAGTTGCCAATTTCCTCCAACATGGCTCCCCCCCCCTTGCTGTTTGGAAATGGTATGGCTTCTCACAAAATCTGATATCTTGGACAATAATTCTGGGAACATCAGGCTTTTTTCTTCCTGGTGGGTTCTCATTCATTAAGGTATGCTAAGCAGATGTCTTGTTTGAAATCCAACAAATTGATGAGATCTTTTCCTGTCTTTAATTTGTGAATAATTTGTGCATTTACAATACGTATTATTCAAGTCAACAAATACCCATTTTTGTTTAACCTCAAGTATATTATTGGAAACTAGACGATCATGTTTATCCACGCCATCACTGAAATTGTTAAAGGTACCAGCTACTGTTCACGTAAGGCACATTGGCTGTACTCTTTTTTCCATCCAACTTTGCCAAGTGGTTTAGTTCATTCCAACAAAGACACATTTATTATCTAACCATTTTATGGTGAGAATTTATATCAAATCTGTAATAATGTGACCCTTTAACTTGTGTTCATATCAACATTGTTGATTTCCAAGGACACTTGTGTAGTCTGTTTTCCTTCATGATACCTGTAGCTTAGAATCCAATATTTCAAAGGTGTACCAACAAGTTATAACAACAAAGAGATTGTGGGAAAAATAGCATAATTGTGGATTCTCTACCACTTCAAGCATTTGTAGAACTATCTGACTGCCAAGGAACAAAGGATTTTGAGTAAATAACTAAAAATATCCAACTATATATTATTTGTACTCTGCATTAGGTGTAAAATATTGTTTACATGTATATAAAATATTATATGTATGTACATACATGTGTGTGTTTGTAGTCCGTGTGTGTATGTGTGTATATGTATATAAATGCACACCTATATATATGGCTTGCTATGAGACTATTTCTCAATGGCAATATATTAGACAGGGCCTCAGCAGAAAAAAACGTGGCATATTAAAGATGTATTTGAAGGGAGTGTAAAGAAGGATCTTTTTAAGATGAAGGGATAGACGAAATTATGGGAACTAACCAAATAAGGTAAAACACCCAAGAATGGCCAACAGAAGGTTAGTTACTGACCCCCTCATTATTTTCAGCTGCTAGCAAAACCAGCAAGTCATGAAGCAGCAGAAGTATGGCTCTGGGTGGGTATTTTGTCTTAACCAGTTTGTAGCTTATGCCATAAGGATCACAGAGAATAAATACCTTGACCTCTCTTCTCATTTCTTTTCTTTTTTTTTTTTAATATTTTTTAGTTGCCAATGGATTTTTAACTTTGTTTATTTATATGTGGTGCTGAGGATCAAACCCAGGATCTCACACATGTTAGGCAAGTGCTCTACCACTGAGCCACAACCCCTGCCCCCTCTCTTCACATTTCTGACGATGCATTGGACAGATCCAGCAGAAAACAAGGAAGGAAAACATAACCCTATTGATATGGTCCTTAGGGGTCTGCCTGCTAGAGCTTAAGGCAGGGTAGCAAGGGGAAAAGATGAGTTTTCATGTTCAGAGAGCACGTATTACCTTTTCTGTGGCCAGGCTGCACATTACTATGCAATATACATTGTCCCAGTACCCTATTTATTAGACAGCTATTTTCCAACATTGATAATTTGAAATATAGTGCATCCCTCAAAATAAAGTGACAACCTAGTTCTAGAAAATACTTTCATGAATGCATTTCTTATAACACACATCAGTTATATGTGTAATATTTTGTTCAGTTGAACATTGAGAAGTAACTTTCCAACAAAGTTTATGCCGTTTTCACAGTGAATTTAAAAGTAGTTTCAGACTGTCTAATCACTCACTTGTTGCTTTTGTCAAAAGAATTGGCTTCAAAAAATGTAAAAATTATTTCAAAGTTACCATGAGTGGTATATTTGTTACTCATTTCAAAATGGGTCAAAAAACTGGTAATTTAGTATGCAAAATGAATGTAAGTACTGATATGACTTTGTTTTACCATAGTAGTTCTTGTTTGAGCTTTAAGATGCCTTTCCAGATTTCTTAATCTTATTTGATTAAAAATTTCTAGCTAATAATAATTAAAAATAATTTCTAGAAATTATAAAATTATAAACTAGCTTCTTCTAATGACTAATAATTATTAATTTTTCTAAAAACTATAAATTTTTAAATTTACAAGTAAATTTTAAAATGCAATAAAGTTGACTTCTCAGGTTTGCTTTTTTATGATGAAACTGTGCAGTAATATTATAATTAAGAAGAATGAACCGTTAACATGAATTGAAAGCTTAGTTGTGAACTGCAGAATCTTTGTATTTATCTTAGCAATCATTTCTTATTTTTATATTTTGAAGGATTTAAAGCCCAGTAATATAGTAGTAAAATCAGATTGCACTTTGAAGATTCTTGACTTTGGACTGGCTAGAACTGCAGGAACAAGTTTTATGATGACTCCTTATGTAGTGACTCGATACTACAGAGCACCTGAGGTCATCCTAGGCATGGGCTACAAGGAAAACGGTCAGCACACACTTTTTATTTGAAATACTCTTCAAATTTGTTTTGTTGTTATTGATGTTTATTAGGTTTTTTAGGTAAATATTTAAGTTAAATTGCATAGAATTAAATGTGTATCACTGTTTGAAATGTGTTTCAAGTTTGAAAGTAACTATAAGTTTTATCATAAATGGGAAAACATGGGGGCCTTGTTTGTCTAAAATGCTAATACTTAAATCATCAACACTCCCACTGGATAAAGAATTGTCTAAGCCTCTGAAAAAAGAACTATGTGTATGCTTTTTGCTTATCCATAGCTTGAAAATGAGCAAATACTTCTATATACAAGGAAGTATATAGTGTACCTCAGAATTCAATCTTACTAGTAATTTCAGTGCCCATTAGTAAGGTTTGTTCTTATTTCCAACTCCAGGAAATCAAAATTAATAGCAGAGCATTTAGTGTAAACTTTGAGAACTACAATAATGCCATTATGCAAAACTGATGAATAATTAAGAATCTCTTGGAGGAAACAATAATGTTTCATCAAAGCCTTGTGTCTAATCTTAAGGAAAAGGCATATAGTATTTTGTGTATGTATAGTGAATTAAACTATAACTTTCTAAGTGTGGTAATTTCATCCAAAAAACTCCTGTGAAAAAACTGGAACAGTAGTTCACTTTGATTCAGGCAGCTATTAATCAACTTTCAAGATTATTATTATTATTTATTTATAAAAGATACCTACGAAATTAGAATTTTAAGCCAGGTTTGGTGGCACTTGCCTATAATTGCAGTAATTCGGGAGGCTGAGGCAGGAGGATTGCAAGTTTGAGGCAAGCCTCAACAATTTGACAAGAACTGGTCTCAAAAAATGAAAAGGACTGGGAAAGCAGGCCAGTTGTAAAGCACCCCTGGGTTCAATCCCAGTACCAAAAAAAAAATTTTTTTAAAGACAGAAATTAGGATTTTAGCTTAATTTCCTATTTGATGTATGTGTGCTCAGAGTAAATATTTTAAACAGTGAATGTTAATCTTTTATTCTGAAGTAAGCATGCTATGTTGTTTTCTTACTGTCTACCTAAAAGTTGAAGTTTTGTTTGGATATTGATAACTTCAGTACCAGCATGACCAGCATGAAGATTGCTTCTGCATTTGCAGTGAAATTATTGGTTATCATAGATATTGTGTAATATGTCAGTAAGGGTCCTGGGGCAGCTCCCAACCAGAAATTATCATGAAGAGAAAAGAGTTGAAATAGTCTTCTCTCATAAGAATTATGTAGATCATCTTATTGCATCCCCACCCTTCCCCAGAAAACTGAGTCAAGTGTAATACTTCCTTATGGTAACTACAATAGCCTGCAAAGATTAACATAAATATTTCTTTCTTTTAATGACTACCCCTCCCCAGTTTAACAACTTTGTTTTATCTGTATTTTATTGCAGGCTACTTCAGACTATTTTGGAAAAAACTGTAGGATAATCAAGTATATTTTAAACTGCCTAATAGTAAGCAGTTAAGACACTTACAGCTCAGTTTTATGTAAACTTAAGTCTTAGTTTCTTCACTGACTCAATATCTTCTCTGATACTAGTAGCTTTTAAGATCTTTGTGTTTAAAACTGTGTTTCTGAAGGTTTTCCACATCAGTTTCATCCTGGTTATTTAGCTACTTTCTTCTTTTCTATAAAGTCTATGGAGAAGATTTATTCTTACAGATTTGGGGCAAAAATGAAAACCCTTGAAAAAAATTGTTCTCTGATCAATTGATTTATCAATGTTAACTTTTCCTGTAAAAAAAATTTTTTTTGGTACTGGGGATTAAACTCAGGGATACTTGGCCACCGAGTCACATCCCCAGCCCTACTTTGCATTTTATTTAAAGACAGGATCTTACTGAGTTGCTTAGAGCCTCACTTTTGCTGAGGCTGGCTTTGAACTCGAGATCTTCCTTGCTCAGCCTCCTGAGCTGCTGGGATTACAGGTGTTCCTCTAAAATTTTATCCTCAAAAGTTGAGTCATACTAGAAATCTAAAAGGGGTTGCATACATTAATGTGAAATTTTAGAGAAACTTTAGTACCAAAAATTATTCCCTGTTTATTTCCTAACATACTTTCGTGAATTGATGGTCTCCTTATAAGAATGTACTTGAAAGTATAGACTTAAATTTCCTAAATCCTGCAACATGGATGAAGAACACACCTCTCTAAATCTAGTCCTGCCTGTTTCTTCTTCTGCTCTTAAAGAATGTGGGCCTTCAAACTTCAAGACCCAAATCTAAATTTCTAAGTCTTTTCCTTTTAAATTGCGTATTCTTTCCCTCTTCTATTAAACTTCCAAGTACCTACTCTTTCTCCTTTTATCTGATATTCAGACCCAAAGGTATAAAATGTTAGGGTATGCGGTTAGTTTTAATAAACGGGTGGAAATCCCAAAATTGCCTCTTTCTGTCTAGCAGATTGTTTGCAGCATCTTGATTAGGGCTCCCTTTTCAAGTTGGCAAGGGTAAGTGCTAGGAAACTCTGCAATAAGAACTTTCATACTATATTCTACCAAAACTAATTTCTTAAACCCAAGCAGTTTGGTTTTATGAATTTGAAAAACCTTATGTAGAAAACATAAGAAGTACGCTTTTCTTTACTCTGTTTTCTTCATTCTCTATGTACTTGTTCTTTTAGGGGTAATAGAGTAAATGTAGAATGATGTTGCCAAGAAAATAATTGACTTTTAATTCAGAGTAAACATACCACTTATTAAATAAATAAATTTATGAACTCTGGTTTGAAATTTTCTGTAGAGCTTTACATTAATTTTTTATAATTATTCAGAGACATTTTTCTATTAAATATTTTAATAAGATAAATTACGCTGCTCATGCTTTTTCTTTTAACTTTTAAAGAAAGAGTGTAATGCACAGTTGAGCTTCAAAATAATGTATAATATCATAATTTTGCTATTTTATGTACATTTTTAGCCTTATTTATAGTTTGTGTTTGATTCTCTTATATTTTATAAACAAATTTGCAGTTATGAAATATACAGGTTTTATACTATTTCTGTGCATAGCTCTCACTTTAAAATTAGATATGTAGTTAAAATGCCACAATTTGTTTTCTTTTGTGAACCAAGCTTTTCACAAAGTATTTTGTTTTTTTAAATTATTTCATTAGCTGAAATTAAAATCACTTTTTCTTTTTTGTAATATTTTGCAGTTTTTATATAATGCAATCATATTCTGCTTCTTTGATTTTAATGACCTTTTGCTTTGCTTTTCCTTCTTTTGTGCTGCAAACATAGTGGATTTATGGTCTGTGGGGTGCATTATGGGAGAAATGGTTTGCCACAAAATCCTCTTTCCAGGAAGGGACTGTATCCTTGTGCTGCTGCAGCAAATTATTAGTTAGGTGATGAACTTCCTTATGTTCTTTAATGAAAATGAATATGCTGCATTCATACATACAGGTTTTTTTTAAAACAGACATAAACTTTGTGACTGTTATAGTTCAAAAAATTGTTCAGATAAGAAGCTGAAATATTTGTAGGCTGCATTTGGCAGTAGGACATACAGTCTCTGCTGGTAGTCAGAGCACATTCATTGTCACTCATTTTTATTTTATATGCTTTTTATGATTTTAAAGTATACATGGTGTGCGTGATTTTTTTTTTTTACTGTTTATATATTTCTTTTTATTTTAACCAAAATCTTTATGTTAATGTCATTGCATTTTGTTTTCAGTTGACATTTGGTCAGTTGGGTGCATCATGGGAGAAATGATCAAAGGTGGTGTTTTGTTCCCAGGTACAGATCGTATCCTTATCTTTGGCCTAAAATATAGTTTCTAAAGGTCAAAATGTATGACAGTACTTCAGCTCCTTCAGGTATAATGTATTTTGTCTCTCCCTAATATCAAGTATTGCTAAATTACTCTTTCAAAATACCACCTGCTATTGACATAGACTTTCTTTTCCCTCATTTATTGTTTTCATATGTTAATTCTGAAAAGTACTCAAGTGTAATTATCCACAGTTACTTGCTGGCTTTGAGTTGATTTATTTAACCTACATTTAAAAAATCATGGCTTGCATTAAAATTTATAATAATTTATACACTTGAGTAAGTCTAGAAATACTTAAGAATTACTTTGAGCTTTGAAATTTTCTGTTGCTGCTGGCCATCCTTTTGTTTTGTCCCCTCACTGCCTTTTTGTTAATGTTTTGTGTGTTTTGTGTCTTGATTGTTCTCATTACTCAACATAACATACTGATTCTTTCATGTGAGAATTTGAGCAATAGTAGTTTTATGTGGTGATTATAAGGTTTGCATTCATGCTTTTTTTTTCCCATCTGACTACTTTTAGGATTTACATCAGTAGGGATGTATTTATCAACAAGTAATTGTTTCAAGAAAAGGAATGGAAATATTCACCAGGTTACAGTAAAGAGTTTTAGGCTTAGAGTATAAACACTAGGAGGAATAAGATCAGGGAATTCTAATCTTAAAACTTACTGAAATACTGAATCTTTTTTATACACTTCAGAGCATTAAAAAAATATTAATGTAAGCTAAACAAAAAATAGCAAAATAAAATGCACTTTTATAAAAAGTCATTTTTATTTCTGTTTATTTTCTGTTAATTTAGAAAACTCAAAAAAAAAAAAAACCAGAACAGATTATCCTTCAGGAAATACATTCACATTTTCTGATAAGCTGGAAGAAAAGGCAGATTTTGTATATTAGTATTATGTACAGTTTGCATTTAGAGAGTCTATGAGTAGTAATGATAATACTGTACATTTATATTTATTTGTAACTTAGAATTTGTGAGTTTAAACTTTCATTTTTGGGGTAAAATTAGTATTCATATAGACATACATGTGCGCACACACACAATAAATAAGGTTAACAACTTATTTATTGCTCATTTCTGTCCACCTATAATCATTGCCCTTTGCAAGGTGGCTGTGAGATATATGAAATTTATAACTGCCACATTCTTTTTATGATTTTTTAAATTTCCATTTTGTATTTTAATATGAATATTGACTAATGTGTTGAATATTAGAAGCAGTATTTTTCTTAGCTACTTGATATTAGATATTGATCAGTGGAATAAAGTTATTGAACAGCTTGGAACACCGTGTCCTGAATTTATGAAGAAACTACAACCAACAGTAAGGACTTATGTTGAAAACAGACCTAAATATGCTGGATATAGCTTTGAGAAACTCTTCCCTGATGTACTTTTCCCAGCTGACTCAGAACACAACAAACTTAAAGGTAATTTTTATAAACATATACATCAAATTCCATTTGTGTGTGCATTTGTGTATTCATATTCTTATGGGATACAATCAAAGATTATCTCTGAGTGGAGAAACAAAATGAAATTTTAGTTATTTTTACCTTTAATCTTGTTTATTATATGTATGATCTGGTTTTAAAGTTAAAAATTATACTTTTAAAAACTTGCTTCTTAAATGATACTCTCAAGTTTGTGGAATCAGTGATAATTTAGCAATCTTTACAAATAGGTACACATTAACATCATTATTTTTACAGCCAGTCAGGCAAGGGATTTGTTATCCAAAATGCTGGTCATAGATGCATCTAAAAGGATCTCTGTAGATGAAGCTCTTCAGCATCCATACATCAATGTCTGGTATGATCCTTCTGAAGCAGAAGCTGTAAGTTTTTTTTCTCCATGTATGAAGAACAGAGTGCATTCTTAGAGTCAGAATTAGTTAGGTTTGGAGGAAACTTTTGAAAATGAATTGAAAATATAGACAGATAATGATAGTGCTTTTTTGTGTTTGCATGAAGATTACCTTAAGCTAATGGGCATTCCCCAGGCATCTCCTACACAAAAGTAAAGTTGCCTCCCTCTGTGTGTCTCACTTTCTGGCCTTGCCACCTGATCAGAGGAGCTAGGATGGGGAGTGCTCTGTGGAACATCCTAACTTAGTATCATATCCCAGTTCTATGATATAAATAAAATGTGAAAATTTCAGAAGCTAGAAGAGAAAGATAAATATTTCTTCCTGCATTGCAGGAGTCTTCCAGAACTAGTTTACATGAGAAGTTTGTTGATGATCAATCAGTCTTATATTTTTCAAGTCTTCTGTTTGACTAATGTTTCAAGTAATTATAAAGAAGCATATACTTCCAATAAACTGACTCAGTTATTAATTATCACTTTTTATTTTTCAGCCACCACCAAAGATCCCTGATAAGCAGTTAGATGAAAGAGAACACACAATAGAAGAGTGGAAAGGTAAAGTTCATTAGATTCTTAGAAAAATAAGAAAGTATCTGGCATTTTGTAGTGATTTATTTTTTATCCTAAAGAAATTAATGATATTTTTCATTTTCATAACTTATATTTGATAATTTGATTATTCTTTTTACAAAAGTGTAAAGTAAGTCTCCTTCCCACCCCAAACACATTAGTGTTTTCTTCTGTAGTCTGTTTATACAAATGTGTTCAGTGTCTCCACCCTGATAAGCTTTTTTGTTTGTTAGTTTGTTTGTTATTTTTGGTACCAGGATTGAACACAGGTACATTTTACCACTAAGTTACATCCCCCAGCCCTTTTTATTTTTATTTTTTTGTTTTGAGACAGAGTCTTGCTAATTTGCTGAGGCTGGCTTTGAATTTGCTATCCTCCTGCCTAAGCCTTCTGAGCCAATGGGATTATAGGTGTTTAAAATCATTTGTACATTAGTACATATTTGTATCATTTTTTAATCACAAATGATTTTAAACTGCACATTTGCTTTGCTGATATGATTATACCTCTTAAAGATGACTCTTGGTCCACATAACTGTTTCATTTGGTTTAATAGCTGGTAAATGTTGTTCAGTAATCATGTGTCACAATCTCTGTGTCCAACTTCCTCTTGAAGAGCATTTAAAGTAGTTCTTGTCTGTTACTCTTACAAACAGCTCGCTCTGTTGTATTCATATGCACAGTATTCATGAAAACATGCCTGTAAGAACAGTTCTAGATGTGCTGAGCCAAAGGCTGTTTTCAATTACTTGCAAATTCCTTTCCAAAGAAATTAAAGGTAGTGTCTTTGCACATCTAATGTAGTAGTTTTAGTCTACCTTATTAATGCAATTGAACATTAATGCTTCAATAGTTGTGGAAATGTTAAAATATGTTTTTTAAAGCTCTCTTGGGACATTTGGGCTAGGTAACTTTTAGATCGTGTTTACCTCTATCTGTGTTGTTGTCATTTAGTGTTTGACCATTTTTGTAGCTGTGTGACTTTTGGGCAAATCTCTTGACACCCCCTTTTTTATTTACCTTAAAATGGAGGCAGAAGATCTGTTACAAAGAGCTAACTAAGTATCTTGGGCAAAAGAAAATAGGGAGGTATGACCCTATCTGTAAATTTATTTTGGAAAGATTGGATTTGATACTTATTTTCTCTGAGTTGAGCTTGGGAGGCTCATGGTTAACAGAGCACAACAGAATGATAGACTTAAGTACAGCCTAGTGCATCTGAATATGTACTAAGTAATATACAAGTATATAACTCTGGACCCAAATAGTTAAAATATTCACCTGATATTTTTATATCCCATTAATTTATAATAGACATTTATGGTATTTCATAGAATTATGTCAGGAAACACTTCCAGTTGTACTATACCACTGATTTTAAGATGTAACCAATTTCAGAGATGTTAAATTGGAAAAGAAACACATCTTAAAGGCATGGAATAAAGAATTTTCATTTACAGTGTAATTGATATATTGTGATCTTTCCATTATGCTAAAATGTTTAACTTTATTCTGAGTCTTTTTCTCTAGCCCCACATACACTTCTGTAGTTATGTACAAACTGCCCTTTTCAATGTCTGCATTAGAGTTTAAGCTGTCAAAGCAGATAGAAAATTTCCACTGCCAAAGACATTTATTATAGATAGCTTTGCCTTATTATTACTTCTTATTGGCTTTGGTTCTTCTGTCTGAATCCCTTTTCACAAACAAGTGCTTTTTCTCTTTAAAGAAAGAAAGAGAGATGTTTATTATTCCTTTTGTTTCTTAAAACAAACAAACAACAACAAAAAAAGTCTATCAAGACTTTGTATTTTTCTTCTTCAAAGTCCAAGGTTACCATAGCAAGCAAACATAGATGTCTCTAGCTTCATTCCACTTACTTTATCTTTTGCCAACATAAATATTGTCATATCCTGTAGTCAGAGATTCTTTATAAGAAATTTAAACTTCAGTATATAGACTTGTTGAATTTCCGTGCATCATTTTGTCTTGTACATTTTTCTGAGAAGAAGTTTCATTGCTTTTAAATAATTCTCAAGATTCTATGAATCAAGGATAATGACTAATGGTGGTATAGCATTTACCAGAGGTTAGTCTTAAGTAGATGTTCAGACTCAAACCGCACTCAGCATCACATAGAAGAAAATGGGGTGCAAGGAACATACACTATCAGATAGCACCTTGTGTCTCTTCAGCTAGAGCCATTCTCACAGTGGTCTACATCTTATCCCCATGCCTAGAAAAAGAACAAGATTCCTATGGAGGAATGTTCTTGGCAGTGATAGCATGTCATGCTGGCACTACACATAAGAAGTTGAAGTGTACCTGCTTTTTGTTTTTAAATAAAATTTTGTTTATATATAAAGAAATGTCTATAGATTCTTTATAGTGAGTATATGGTTGAGTACCTCCATTGTACCACACACTATTCCAGAGCTCATGAAGTAGAATTTAACAAGAGAAACACTTAATTCAAGCACTCACTGAGACAGAAGTAAATAAGTATCTTTAGTGCAGAATGCTGGGTGATGTGGTAACAGTGTAGTATTAGGTGTTGGCAGAGTAAAAAGATAAAACTTCTGACCTCAGCTCTGTCCTTAAACCAACTTGCAAAACATTAATTACAGGTTACTGCAGAGGTTTTTACTTTCTTTGAATATAATTTGTGGTTGAAAATCAAGAACCCGTTATTAACACCCATGAATCTCAGGCTGACATGGACGGTCACTTTAAAGATAATATTTGAAATATTGTTAAATATATTTTTACACTTAATGTGTGTAAAAATTTTGAATTAAAACATACTGTATATTATGAGATTGGCTCTCGGACTTTGAAGTTTATTTTTTCCATCTCTTTTTCAGAATTGATATACAAAGAAGTGATGGACTTGGAGGAGAGAACCAAGAATGGAGTTATACGAGGGCAGCCCTCTCCTTTAGGTTGGTTACAATATAAACATGGTTGAGGGTCATTTTACTTCTTGCATTGTAATCTTCAGTGGCCTGAAACCTGCAGTTCTTTCCATACTTACTGCCTTATTCAAATTACAATTGGGTGCTTAAATTTGAAATATTGATATACTGTTGTCCTGATACAATGTACTGATATAATCAGTAACTGACTTCATAAAGTGCTTATCTTTTTCTCTGATACTGACATTCTATTGAAGAACTTAAGGCCTTTTTTGTTGGCATTGTTGCCTTGTATTTAAAGGAGAAATTTTTCAAAATTCAATATGCTTACCTTTATATAGTTTTAACAGTCTTTACTTTGGATAAATTGATTTGTTGAACTAAAGCAATACCATTAAGACCACCACTAGAAAGCATTCACTCTATGAAGAAAACTAGTTTATATTAAAATTAAAACATTTTCTTTTATTGTAAGTTAGTCTTAATTTAATTTTGGTTTATGTAAAAGTATAAAGAAATGAAGGAAAAGGTTAAATGTCAGGAAACGTACATGTTAAGCACACAACATAATAACTAGACACTGGTGGTTCATGTTCTTTATTTCATTCATCCCTCAGACTCTGAGAGATTATTATGCACATTCTATAGATGAGGAAGCTAATATTTTAGGGGAAAAAAGATTCAAAATCTATTAGGTAGAAGATAGTGAAATAATTTCTGAATGTATTGCCCCTCACAGCAGAGGTTAGGACAGTTATATGGAAGAGGTAAAATTTGATCTGAGCTTCAAAGGCTGAGTAGTATTTCTTTAGATAGGTTTGATTTTGAGTAAAACTATGCCATTTTAATTCTTCTAAGGATTAAATAAATGGTCTAAGGATTTAATTCACTTGCCATTCACATTTCAGCTCAGACCACCTGTGCTGCCCCTGTGGTTCCATTCCTTCCATCTCTCACTTCCTTCTCCACTGCCATAAAGACTTGTCTTTTTCTATTACCTGCCTGTTTCCTTGTTAAATTTGAAGACAAACTTTCAGAAGAACTTCTGTATTTAAGTGTTTGTTGCTCATCATTAGACATAATCAAACCCTGAAATATGCTGGGCCAAAGAGTAGAGGTTTTTAATCTGCTTGGTTTCTGCACTTTTGGTACCTGATCCTCACCCTCATAAATTCTGCTCAGTGTTTGGTCTGATACCATTGTTTTGTGATACTTCAGATTGAACCCAGAGTGCTTTACGACTGGGCTTGATTGCCAGCCCTTTTTGTTTTTATTTTGAGACAGTCTTCCTAAGTTTCCCGGACTGGCCTCAAACTTGTGATCCTCCTGCTTTAGCCTCCTGAGCAGCTGGGATTACAGGCATGCACCACTGTATTCAACTGGTAGCATTACTTTTATACAAATGTGTTCTTAATAATATTTCTGTAACTTAATTTATTCCGATTTGGAATGACCCTTATTTAGTTGATCCTTTGGTTCAAAATTATTTACCTAGTGTATGAGTTGCCATTAACACATCCCCCACCCCTGGTGTCAGACCTGCCACCTTTCCAGCCCAAACATCTTCAGAAGATTTCTCTCTCTAGGTCAAGTATTCCTATTACTTTTTAAAATCCAGGAAATACTTGTTAGGTACTATTTGGGAGTAATGAAACAGTTTGCACCAATCTTTATCTGGTTTGTAAATGCATATTTTATTTATCAAGTATTTATTAGAATTGAAATAAGACTGAATTTACTAACTAGACCACTTGAGTTACCCTGTCAAGTCACATAATCTCATGCAAACTGGATCAGTTGAACTAAGGTCCTTCCCAATTAAAATTATTTTATTCTTTTTGTTGGGTTTTGCTTTACCACAAAATGTATCAAAAGTATTATTTGGACTGTCTTTTTAGTGACAAGATATCATAAATAATTTTCTATAGGACAGTAGTTTTTTAACTTTTTTTAGTCACTCAGGTCTTTGAGATTCTCTCTCCATCGAAATGTAATATAGAGAGTTTTACCTATATTTTCAGTATTATTTACACACAACCCTGAAGCCCTCCTTGATGGATCTTGCTACAGAACTGTTTCTAAATGTGACCTGGTCTCTAAGTTCTTGTATTAAACTGAGAAACAAGTTAGTAAAAAGGGCAGGACTCCAGGTTTCTAGACATTTTCAGAATTTCCACCTCATAGTTTGCATGTAACAACATTTGTAAGTTAGTGTTATATTTAATATCATTTGTGATTGTCTTTATTGAGCCTTCTAATCCTAAGAGAAAAATTATATCAACCACTGGAGGTAGTACAATGCAAGTAGCTCGGTCTGCAACTCTGTCTGCAACTGATTTGCTGTTTTGTTTCTCATAGCACAGGTGCAGCAATGATCAATGGCTCTCAGCATCCATCGTCATCGTCGTCTGTCAATGATGTGTCTTCAATGTCAACAGATCCGACTTTGGCCTCAGATACAGACAGCAGTCTAGAAGCATCAGCTGGACCTCTGGGCTGCTGTAGATGACTACTTGGGCCTTGGGGGGGTGGGAGGGATGGGGAGTCGGTTAGTCATTGATAGAACTACTTTGAAAACAATTCAGTGGTCTTATTTTTGAGTGATTTTTCAAAAAATGTAGAATTCATTTTGTAGTAAAGTAGTTTATTTTTTTTATTTTCAAGTGATGTAATTTAAAATCTAAGTTGTGTTTTAAAACAGCAACAAAACTGTATTGTATTTTTTGCTGTAATTAACTGTATAATGTAAACCTAATTATTTTATCATGTTTTAAATTTTTTGCATATTTGCTTTATCTATGCTGCTGATTTTTTTTTTACTGAATTTGTAAGATTTTGTTTATCAAAGCAACTATTATGTGGTGACTTGCCTATATCATGAATTATTTAAGATTTTTATAGTTTTTTTATTAGAATTTATTTCAGATGTTTTGTTCATGATACTATCCTTCAGGGTTATATGCTTATCAATGAAATAACCCCAGAGGAGTGAGGGAAAATCACCTGTAGCCAGTTATATTCAGGAATAACTACTGTAAATGATGAACGTGGCAAGAGACCTCCATTGTTTGCTACCAGCCAATCCTAATTTAGATACAGCAATGGGTAGGCAATCCTACCTGAATTTTGGCAAAAGCCCCATCATCTAAATGGCAGAATAACAGAGCGTGTCTTTCAAGTGCCAGGAATGTACCACCACCTTCTTTTCTCCCCACCTAACCAACAAAAAGTCAAGGAATATAGTGTATTCTGCAAATTTGTGGCATGCTCAAAGCTATGATCACATAAAGTCAAGAGGATACTTCATGAATAATACATTTCAATGCAAATAAACAGATGGTTCACTTATACTAGCTATGAGCCTGTTTTTGTACATACTGAGTTAGTCTTAGGCTGTAGGTCCTAGCAGTGGTCTAAAGTCTGGCTCCACATTTTCTGCAGCCTTGTCCCTTAGACCTTTCTGGTTTCAAAACTATTGGAGGGTTAGTCAGTTGAGCACCAGTTCTCATGGTGTTTCTGGCCATTTGATTCTGCCTGTAGTATAATCATTTATATCAGCTGTCAGGAGGTTTCAAAGCCTACTTAGATTTGTGTAGGTGACGTATCAAATGAGCAATATACCGTTCATCTGAAAATAGTAGCACACAGCCATATATAGGATATCATTTTCTAAGGACTGTTTCTTCACATCGAGCAGAGCAGGCATAAATGGTGGTTACTTAGTCTGAGTCTTTCATTTTTTATACCTTATTTCCAATATAACACGCAATGTGGACGTCGAGTAGTGTAAGAATGGTGCTGCTCCTGACAGGTGTGTGTTAACTGTTTACATTTTATATCTGCAGAATTATTTCTCTATAACTGAATTTTTTCTAGGTAAAATGTCATTGAGGTCTCATTATTTCTGAACTACATTATCTGTAATGACCCCACGCACCTTATGTTATGCCTAAAACAAGAGGGATTTCATGTAATGAACTGGGAAATGCTTACTTACATAAATGGCAAGGTTCTGGGCGGAAAGCCTATCGGGATTCATGACCAACAGGAGCAAGAATAGGTGCAGCTCAGCAAATGTCTGAAAGTTCGCTTGGCATTTTATTCATATATTTAGTGCAAAATTCCTTTTGAGTTAGATATTTTAGGTCATTGTTAATGTGCAATATTTAAGATTAAAATACATTAGCCTTTTTATATACTTTGAAATAGCAAGCTTGTTTTTGATGGGTTCAAGTCATGATTTCTTGCCTCCCACACTTGGTAATGATCCCTTTTCTAGTCATACAACATGGTGCATTAATTTTATTAGGAAAATTAGAGTTTTGAGACTGTAACCCTCTTGAGTTATATAGGATTGGATTCACAATTCTAGAAATTTGAGCATGAGTGTATTCTCAGTTCATATTAGTTTTATAGTTAATTAGATTTATTTTCTCTAGGGTAGATTATATCACTATTGCACTTTAACAGCTGACATGCCTTTAAAAGGCTCCCATATTTTATATTTCATTGCTGATATGCCATCTCTATTGATTCGGATGTTGGTTAAGCAAGGAATACCAGGTGTTCTGACTATATCATTTGTTGTAAATGCCAGCTCCCACTTGCCAACCATCATATTTCAGTTGAATTGAAAGAAAAAAAAAAAAGCCTATTGCTTAATGTAAACCAAACTGCTAACCAGTTATATCCTAAAACCAAGGTCTGGTTGTTAAATCTTGAGTGCCCTAGGTCTGAAAAATATATTGTCTAAATACAGCTTCCCCTTTTTGCTTAAATTTATTAAACTAACTATGTACTGGTACTTTTTCTTTTAGAGTCTTAACGTGTCTTACATCTTTTTTTGAAGAAATTACAAATATCTGTCAAGCAGTACTTGTATTAAGCCACTTTCTTATAATTTTGTTTTTCAATTTTATACACTTAATATACCCATCATCTTACTGTCAGAAAATTATTTTAGCTGAGACTTATGACTTGACTTTGTAAGTTTGAAAAGATACTGATTCTTTATTCACGTCTTCCTAGTTACAGTTCTCTTACTCTCTAATATATAGTAATCATTTGTAAACTGATCATATCATTGAGATTGCTAAATTATGATATACATAGAGCATCTAAGCTCTTTCATACTATTTGCTGAACAATTTTCATTGTGTCATGCACCTTCGGCTGCTGATTGCTCCTGGTGTGCGCTCTTCCAAGTTGGTAAAGACGCAGTGTGCTTACACCAGACTTTCTAGGAAAGACCAGCCTCTCAGAGGAGAAAGCAGCAGACTTTCCTATAAGCTTTTTTGTTATTCTGTTCTGGGCTAGTCTTGCCGGGTTGTCCAAAAAGATAAGATGAAGAGTATATCAATGTCTGGTAGTGAAATCAGCAGCAGGCAAGTGAAGCTGTTTCCTGGGTTACAAATACTATTGGCCAGTATCTGCTACATGTATGAAGACTATTCAGTGTTGCCTAGGCACTAGCCTGCACAACATTTTGAGGTTAAAACATAGTATATTTTCAAGAATACTGTTGTAGTTTGTGAGTGTTGTTCATTAGTCACACATTAGCTGTAGAGTGGATGCATGACACCCTGTGACCCCAGTAAACCTCTCTTACCAGTGAAGTAGAAAACCAAGCACCACCTTCTGTCATTAGCAGCCCTCTTAAATGTTGCCTCTCCATATAGCCTGTTGCATTTTAGCGTGCATCGTGTTTCTACTGATCTCTTTTAGGATTTTCCTGACTCACAGGAAACTAATTTGTCCTTAATAAAATAGCAAGAAAGATGAAGAGGTAAAGGGCATTGAAGCAGAAATGTATAGTTTGGGGTGAGATTGGAAAACTCATAAGGAAAACAAAAGTCCTAGTCAATTTCAAAGTAACTGCTCTTAGTAAAGTGCTCTTAAGGAGAGTCTAGTAAGAGTAACACTTTCTGGCCATTTCTGATTTAGATTCTCTTCATTACTGAAACTTCTGAGAAATATTACCTGTGGATTAGTTTTGCACAATATTCTATTCTCACAATGACTTAAAATGAAACTAGGTTTTTATTGAACTACCTCACACTAATTTTCTATGCTTTCCCAAGTAAGCTGTTGCCCTGTTAGACCTTTACTGAGTGTGAATTATAAATGTGCTTTGAATACTTTATAGCCAATGTTGAAAAAATACCAGTAAGTATGTAAAATATATACCTTGCATCAGTAAGAGACACTCACGTGTAAAATCTTTCACTGTATATCTTGAAAATTGTGTTAGATGTGCTTGTTGACATTATTACTGTCTGTTTTTGTAAGTAGAAACCTGCTCGTGGTATCAGTCCATTCTTTACATTTTACAAAAGGAGTAAATCTTAGTAAATTTTACGAAGAAATAAATTACTTTTGTAGGCCCAATATTTGGTATATTTTTGAGAAGCTGTTAATCTTTTAGCCGAATGATGAAGTTAAACTGAAGTAGCTGTCTACCTGGACTGTGACATCTATTTTCTCATTACAGTTTATCCTGTTCAACAGGTTTTTGAACCTGGAAACCTAAGTATAGTTACTGACTTTTTTTTTTTTTCCTCCCTATACATGTCATTTTCTTCTTCACCACCCCTCCCTCATGTCCAATTCCCTCTCCTCTCCTCACCTCGCCTCTCCTCTCCTTTCCTTGCCTCTTTAGATGAAACAAAATGGGGCACTTTGTAGGGAATGCTGAGATCATTATTGTGGTTTTTAATCATTCATGCCCTAGTCATTAAACATGCACCACTGGAATGTAAACATTGTTATCTAGTATGTCAATTGGTTATAATATTTTAAATAAAAAACAAAAAAGTGGTATGAAAATTATGAACTTAAGAGTTTTTTCATTGAAAACAAAACAAATCTGTAGTAAGTTTTTCTTGATTACTCTAGGAATTCCAGTGGCTTGGGATAAAAGGGTTTTTACCAGGGCAGGTTTCTTAGATTTGAATTTTATACACATTATAAAGAGTGAATTTTCACTCCAGTTTTCTGCTTCATTTATACTTGCTTTCTTGTTTTTCTGGTGTTTGAAATCACCAGAGAAACTCTATCTAAAAAAGATACTTCCTTGACCTCAACTTAATTCTTCATAGCTGTACAAGAGGGCAGCCATCATGGCCCCTTGGCCAAAGTAAGTATATAGAACAGGTATGTTTCAAAACAGATTTCAGCTTGGAACATGTTCTATGCGCCTTTCTTGGGTGGGCTGTATGAGGGTATGCAGGATGTGTCTCTGTGTGCCTGCTCAGCTTCTGTGTGATGGCATTTTTATACCTTGCTGGGCTCTGTTGGGCTCTGGCTCCAGATAACCCTTGCATCCACACTGTCCCTCCCTTCACCTGCATTCCTGTGTCCCTTTCCCAAGAGAGTGAACCAGGCACACCTGACTGCTGCCACTTCATCAACCATGTGGTGGCAGGCCTGATGCATTGTCATCACCATCATTTGAGAGGCCTCTGGTGACATGTTGAGTGGCAAAGGCAGACATGAGAGTGTTGTTTAAACTTGGTTTTGAGTGATAAATTTTAAGATTCCCTACCTAGTCTTAAAGGAGTAATTCTTACTTGTCAATTTAGGTGCTACATTTTTTAAAAAGTATTGTTCCTAAAAAGACCCATTAACTTTATGTAGTGAAGATTGATTTGTACTGATTTTGTGGTTTTAAAAAAGATTTTTTTTTTTTTAGCTGTTGCCAGTTAAATACTTCAACTAAGCTTTTTAAAGGTTAGGTTTTGTCTAGCAGGCATTTCACTTGATTTTACCAATTAATAAAAGCATATATAACAAAGACTCTTTGCTGGAAGCTAAGAATGAAAAAAGACAAAAATGACCTTCAGGGTAGTCCTGATAGCAGTAGTGCTATGTGGAGGAACAGTACCATGCTGAAGGGACAAGAGCAACAGAGTGATGAGAGAAAATGAAGAGGGCTTGGAAAGGAATGGTAGTGCAGACTAAAGGGAAGGCAAGGAGATTTGAAAGCTCGTGAGCAATGATTCAGGGACAGCTTGACCTGGGCATGGATATACAAAGAAATAATGGAAACTACCTCATTCACAGTAGTCTCAAAAACAATAAAATACTTGGGAATCAATCTAACAAAAGAGGCGGAAGACCTATACAATGAAAACTACAGAACACTAAAGAAAGAAATTGAAGAAGACCTTAGAAGATGAAAAGATCTCTCATGCTCTTAAGATTAGAAGAATTGGAGCTAGGATTGTGGCTCAGCAGTAGAGTGCTTGTCTAGCATGTGCAAGGCCCTGGGTTTGATCCTCAGCACCACATAAAAATAAATAAATAAATAAAGATAGCGTTCAACTACAACTAAAAAAATTTTTAAAAAAAAGAAGATTGGAAGAATTAACATTGTCAAAATGGCCATACTACAGAAAGCCTTATACAGATTTAATGAAATTCCAGTTGAAATCCTAAGAACATTCCTTGTACAAGTAGAAAAAGCAATCATGAAATTCGTTTGGAAAAATAAGAGACCCACAATAGCCAAAACAATACTTAGCAAGAAGAGTGAAGTAGGTAGCATCACAATACCAGACCTTAAACTATACTGCAGAGCAATAGTAACAAAAACAGCATGGTATTAACACCAAAATAGACATGTAGACTAATGGTACAGAATAGAAGATAGAGATAAACACATAAATAGTTCTCTCTTACTAGACAAAGATGCCGAAAACATATATTGGAGAAAAGATATTCTATTCAACAAATGGTGCTGGGAAAACTGGAAGTCCATATGCAGCAAAAAGAAATTAAATCACTATCTCTCACCATGCACAAACTCAAAAGTAGATCAGGGACCTAGGAATTCGGCCAGAGTCCCTGCACCTCATAGAAGAAAAAGTAGTCCCAGATCTTCATCATGCCGAATTAGGTCCTGACTTCCTTAACCAGACTCCTTAAGTGCCAGAAATAAAATCAAGACTCAATAAACGGGATGGATTCAAACTAAAAAGCTTCTCATCAGAGGATATGACCAATAACATGAAGAGAGAGCCCACAAAGTAGAACATCTTTACTACAGGCACATCAGATACAGCACTAATTTCCAGGATATGTGTAAAACTTAACACCAAAAAAACAACCCAATCAATAAATGGGCTAAAGAACTGAACAGACACTTCACAGAAGAAGAAATACAATCAGTCAACAAGAATATGAAAAAGTGTTCAACATCTCTAGCAATTTAGAGAAATGCAAATCAAAACTAAGACTAAGGGTCTGGGGATATAGCTCAGTTGGTATTGAGTGCTTGCCTCGCACACACAAGGCCCTGGGATTAAGCCCCCAACACCACACACAAACACAAAAACTAAGGTTTCATCTCACTCTAGTCAGAATGGCAATTATCAAGAATACAAGCAACAATAAGTGTTGGTGAGGATGCAAGGGGGGGTGAGGAGGGAGATAACATGTTGCTGGTGGGACTGCAAATTGGTGCAACCACTTTGGAAAGCAGTATGGAGATTCCTTAGAAAACTTAGAATGAAACCATCATTTGACCCAGCTATCCCACTCCTCAGTCCATATCCAAAGGACTTAAAATCAGCATATTATAGTGACACAGCCACATCAATGTTTATAGCAGCTCAATTCCCAATAGCTAAACTGGGGAACCAACATAGATGCCCTTCAATAGATGAATGAGTAAAGAAACTGTGGCACAATGGAATATTACTCAGCATTAAAAGAGAATAAAATTATGACATTTGCAGGTAAATGAATGGAGTTGGAGATTATCATGGTAAGCGAAGTAAGCCAATCCCCAAAAACCAAAGGTCAAATGTCTCTGATAAGTGGATGCTTATGGGGGGTGGGGCCTGGGAAGGAATGGAGGAACTTTGGATTGGGCAAGGGGTAGGGGGCACAGGGGTAAGATGGTGGAATGAGATGGACGTCATTACCCTAGGTACTTGTATGATTGCACAAATGGCACGACTCTACATCGTGTACACCAAAGAAATGAAAAATTGCACATTTGCATACAAGGAAATAAAATGCATTCTGCTATCATGTATAACTAATTAGAAAATATTTAAAATGTTAATATCAAAAAGGAAATAATGAGAGATAAGGCTGAAAAGTTGAGGTTCAGAATTGAATCAAGCCAAGGGGGCCAGAACTGAAAATATTAGGAATTCCTTTTTATTTTCTAGGCAGAACCCATTGTAGAATGTGAGGAAGAGGAGTGGTGGGACCAGACCCAGGTTTTAGGATGGTCAGTAACAGTGGGAGCAAGTCCAGTTGGGCTAGAGGTGTGGAGCTTGGTGCCTGGAAGCCAAAGACACCCAGTTGAGGGAGCAGTGAGGACTCAAATGCATTGTCATTACATAGGTGATGTTACCAAAATCAGTATTTGGAACTGGAGGAAGTTTTGAACCCTAATGGTGAGACAGCATGCAAGAGGTCTGCAGGGAAAGCATGGCTGCAGTAGGGTACGATTTGTACATACCTGTTTAGGAACTGTAACGGAACGCCTGGCATCAACCCACAATTTCCTGTTTCAGACAGGGGAGGAAGGGGAGAAGTGTTTTGCTCCCCCAACTGTGGACCTCTCCAGTCTTGTTGTCTCTTCCCTCCTGAGGTTTGTCATCTGCTCCTCCAGCCCTTATGCCCATTTTTGTTAGAACCACTTTATGGACAGAGGAGAAAGAAGAGAGGTGCCTATTAGGTCTAACACATGAGATTTTTGGATCTACCTGGACAACTAGGGGCATGGTTCTGATTGCTAAGGACTGAGTGAATTATGAGTTGGGTAGCACTCCTAAAAACTGGGCAGGCCAGGTGCGTGGAACACACCTGTGGTCCCCAGGGCTCAGAAGGCTGGATCATGAATTCACAGCCAGCCTCTGCAACTTAGTGAGGCCCTCAACAACTTAGTGAGACCCTGTCTTTAAATAAAATACACACCAAAAAAAGTGCTGGAAATGTGCATCGGTGGTTAAGCACCCCTGGGCTCATCCCCAGTCGGGAGGAGTTTGGGGAGGAGATTGGGCAGGAAATGTGAAGGAAGTTAAGACTACCTTGAGAGAAGGATCAAAAGAGTGATCAAATTAAATGAGAGGGAGAAAACCAAAGCACATGCACCCTGATGAGATGAGATCTTGGTTTGGGATCTACTGGCTCCATGAGTCCAGGTGAGCCTAAACAGGGAGTGTTGAGGTCACCTTGGGCAAATCTCAGTGGCACCGAGCTGTGCTTTCCTTCTCCATCTGTCACAAGAGGGTGGAGATAACTGGGCTGACAGACTTGGAACGCTTCAACAAAAATCAGCGTAAAACCAATGTAACTGCTGGTTGGGGCCTTGGAACAGAAGAGGGATGATGAAATGGAGAAATGCTAAGAGAAAGGAAAGCATTTTGTGTGGCCCCCACCTGGGAGCCAATGTACATGGCTCTGCTCCGGCTGTCTCCATCCCCAGCAGCCCAAACGCCATGCTGTTGGTAAGGAAAATTCTTCATAAAATCAGTATGGGATTTCTATGGAGAGAATAGCTAAGCCTTTTACTTTGGCTCTGTTTCATGTATCATTCCAGCTGACCCTCCTCCAGGAACATCCTCTACGTCATTGTGAACATGTTTCTGTTCATGTCCACGTTTGCCCATTTTAGACCCTCACTGCTTAGGGCCTAGATCTAATCATTCCTCCTCTGATAAAACCCTCCCGTCAATTTTTCTCTCACATCACCCGTTTTGCATACATGTTTGCTCGCTTTATTCATACACTCCCTCCTCCCATTGACAGACGACAAGGTCACCACACATCTCTGCAGTTATGTGATAGTAGCCTGTGTGCTAATCTTCTGC